CTACAGCGGAGGAGCTCCTAGAGGTACTAGAGTGGGGGGATCGGCCTCTACATCGCATCGAGTCCGCACGATTCTCGCACGGATCTCCGCTATACAGCTTACGTTCCTCGCTACAGCGCGTAAAGCAGCAAATGCGAAATTCTTTCATTACGCATAAAGCGTAACATTCGACGTAATAATATATAAAGATTATTACAAACAATATCTTGAAAATGCCACGCCAACCCAAGATAAACGTTGACGAAATTTTCAACTTGATAAAGAACTTGAACTTTTTTAACGATCAAGGTCAAATTCTAAGATCATCTGACTCAATTTGGAAGCATGCAGAAACAATTTTAAAGAAACAAATGTCTGCGAAATATTTATATTTGTACCTGTCGCAAAATAGAAATAGAATTCTTGAACGATTTCAAGAAAAATATAATGTCAATGTACAAGCCAACCGTAAATTATCAGAATCATACACTTCGATCGACTCAGAAGTCACTTGTAAATCGAGTGACTCAAATTGGTCGATGTCTTCGCCATGTCTTCGCCACCTAAAACCATGGTGTACTGTAATATATCTAAACGCGGAAACTTGGACTAAAATGTACGGAATTAATAATAATTTGACGAAATTAAAACCTGGATGGACAGACGTGTTTTATCACGAAATATGGAAACAACTTAAGATACCGTGTCGCTATTCTTTCAAATCTGGTAAAATTTGTTCTACACCAGGTGAAGTATTTTTGAAAATAAGAGGAAAGTGCAAGGAATGTGGTGCGCTCCTTAATGCATACAGTATGCAGAGACCGGATGTAAATTCGGATGTAAACATAGAAATTCACATTTCCACATATGATACCACAGACATCGCGCATAAAAAAAAACGACAATTGCGCAAATTAGAAAGAAGCTGCGTTGTAAAAGATTTGCAAGCGATGTCCACGTATGGCTGGAGAAGGGAGAAAGCAAATAAATTAATGTCATTCGGCGATGTAGAACCAGCGCATTTATACAGCGAATCGGTTTTAAGAAAAGCGAAGCAATTGGATGCAGATGATAAATTGGGCATTACAAGAAGTATCGATCCGGTTACATCCATCGTACAAATGAAATATAAACCTGAATTTGCGGGTATAGTTCGTGAAGTAGGAATTGACAATTTTTTCGTCATATATTTTAGTCCCGTACAACTGTTCTTGTATCAACAGTTTTGTAAACAAACCGAACAAACAGGAATTTTAAGTATAGATGCGACGGGATCTTTAGTTAAAAAAATTAACAAGATTGACGGGACTACGCACATGATATTTTTATACCAAGCTGTCGTACCGTTCAATAAAAAAATTTTATCAATCTTACAAATGTTATCAGAGAAGCACGACGCAAACATTTTGTCATACTGGTTACGCGAATGGATACGATCTGGTGCAGCTATCCCGAAAGAAGTAGTAATTGATTATTCTCTCGCACTTATTAATGCAGTTACACTCGCTTTTAACAACTGCGATTTAAAAACATATGTGGAGAAATGTTTGTGTGTATTATGTGACAATGATACCACAAACATTCCCAACTGCATTCTTAGAATAGATATCGCGCATTTAATTAAATCAGTGTGCAATTGGGAATGTTTTAGCATAAAACATAAGCGAATAAAAGATTTTTTTGTTAGATGCACTGCCATATTATGTCAAACAATTACCGTCGACAGTTTTACTCAAATTTGTACCGATATATTAACCGTAGCGTTTTCTGAAACGGAGGAACTTGGGAACGATACTTTGGGTAGTTTCCATGCTCAACAACGTCTAATAAATATAATCAGAACGCATGACATAATAAATTACGAAAATTTTACTGCAGACGAATACCATAATGAG